TTTGTAAAATTGTGCTTCCCTGCCTTGGAAAGCCACGCCTTCTCTATCATCGCCTTCGGGACGCTATGCAAACGGTATACGTCATTCTCATAAAGTTTAAGGGCGGCAATACTTCAAGTATACGTATAGGACGGGATGCGTCCAAATGAAACACACAATGGAAGTTGTTCATAGCGTACACGTAAATCATTGAATGACGGGCATATCAGTAGTTCTACGATTGTTCACCGTGTTTATACGCCTATTTTTGTAATCATACATGGTCCACTGGCGGATCCAGATCCATCTTGCCCCCCCCCCACCCACCTTGTGGGCCAAGAAAAACATCATAGGGCCCAAAAAATGTTTTGGTAAAAAATTACATAGGGCCTCATAAAAACCGAGCCTTTTTGGGAATGATTTGACAACCTAGGCCAAATTTTCAAAGAATGGGGGTTAAATTTTCTTCTGGATCCTCCAGTGTGGTCTAAGTTGTTAATTCGAAAAGGCCAAATAATTGCGATATTGAATGTGCAACTCATCACGGTACACCTCGCCCGACGAGTGACACGTGTTGGTAAAATCTATCCAATCCTGCACATAGAACTCATGCATAATACAACAAGTTCTGGGATTGAAATTGTATAGTAGTTTAAGCCAATTTACTGACTGAATTACTCAGTTGGAGTAACATTCCCGGGGAAACTTTCCCGGGGACAGATAATAGTTCCCTCTATTGACCAAACTAGGTACTACACTTCACTCCACCTTTTGAAAATAACTAACTCATATATATATATATATATGTAGAGTTATGATTACTATGGTAACATGACATCACGATACACAGGGCAATATTCCAGGTAGAAAGTTTCACAGACTTTAAGCAATTTGTACATCCCATATCAAACTTGAAGCGATGGGAAATAGTTACATTAAAGACGACATGGATTTCATAAAGAAATTACCCAATCTTACTACTAACTCTTCTACAATGCTGGTATCATTCGATGTAGTAGGATTATACAGCAATATTCCGCATGAACTAGGTTTACAAGCAATATCTTATTGGTTGGATAAATACGATAATGACATCATAAAACGGATTTCTCCTGATTTCATTATGAAAGCTATAGAATTAATCCTCGAAAACAACTTTCTTCAATTCGATAACGAAGTGTTCCGACAACTGAAAGGAACAGCCATGGGAACGAAAATGGCCCCGTGCTATAGTAATTTAACTTTAGCGTTTGTGGAAGAGAAATTAATGGATGAGATGCAAATAACATTTCCCGAAGATATTGCCAAATTCATTCAAATTAATTGGAGACGATATCTGGATGATTGCTTTATTCTTTGGCCTTTCTCTGAAGAAAGATTGAAAGCCTTTCACATGGTTCTAAACAGTATTGATGACAATATAAAATATACATGTGAAAGTAACAGAAACCAACTCCCGTTCCTCGATATCATGGTTAAAATAAAACCTGGAGGTGAAATCGCAACAGACATTTTTAGAAAACCAACTGATACGCAACAATATTTGAACTTTAACTCATGTCACCCACACCATGTTAAGATCAATTTACCGTATAACTTAGCCCGCCGTATCATCTGTATTGTAAGTGAAGAAGAAGTGCAAATTGAAAGATTAACCGAATTGGAGATTACACTGATATCACGTGGTTACCCCAGAGGCCTGATACACGATGCAATAAAAAAAGCCAGAGAATATACTAGACATGATCTACTATACTATACTATGCCTTTTTTTAAATTTCATGAAGACGATATCGAACAAAGAATCGCCATGGAAAATCATTTTATTAACATTTTTCAACCCAAACTAAACAAATAAATTGTTTATTGGTTACTATACATGTAACGGTTAAATTGTACGTGATGGATAAATACTACTGACAATAATTAATTGTATTAATATTACGTCATATACCTATCTACCCATATATCTGAAATATGGGGCATGTCGAATTACTTTTCTACAAAAGATTTGAATGAATGGTTTACAAATGGCAGACGATTTCCATCTGAGAAACTTCTGTTATCTTTTTGCAAATATATTCTTAAAGTAAATAAAAAATCAACAAATTTGGCAATTTATGGAGAGCTTGGGAAATACCCACTATATATAAATATATTCAAACAAGCTACTAATTTCTATAATCACATGTTAAATACGTCATACATCTTATTATCAGAAGCACTTACTACATCAAATGACTTATCAAAGAACAACAAGTCATCGTGGATGCTGAATTTTAAAAGTGTAATGGATAAATTAGAGGTAGTATCATTTTCAGGAGATACTCCCAGCAATATCAATAATACTTTAGATGTAAAAGAATATACTATTGACGCATCCGAAGTTGTTTGTAAATCAAAAATTAGTTTTGAAGATTATTGGCGAAATCAATTGAATTCCGACCAATGTCGCAAACTGAATACATACAAAATATTTAAAAGCAATTTCAGGTTCGAACCATATTTAGATTCAATTTCAAATGGGCATTTACGACGAAGTCTAACAAAGTTTCGTATCAGTAACCACAAATTAAAAATAGAAACGGGTAGATACGAACGCCCAAAATTAAAGATCGATGAAAGAATTTGCGAGGTTTGCAATTTAATAGAAAACGAAAAACACATAATGCGTTCATGTAAAAAATACAGTATATATAGAAAGCAAATGCTCGATAAACTTGTATCACACGGCAACCCAATTAAACACCTTTTCAACATGGAGGACGATTCACTTTTTTTCCAATATTGTATGTCTTGTGAAAATAAAGAAATTGAAATTGTAGCAGAATTTATTCATAAATGTAATATAACATAGAAGGGTGTGATATATGACATAAACAATGGACGCGTATCACAATCACCATTCATGTGCTTATCCATGATGCATATTTATTTGTTCATTTATTTACTTATTTATTTATTATGAAGTGTTAATTTTGTGTGTTGTTATATGTACTGTTTTCTGTTGTATTGATATATTGTAAAATTAGTGTTTACTTTGTGTACACTTAACCTTTTATGGGTATGAATGTGTAATAAAGTTCATAAAATCTAAAATCTATACCTTTTTACCTGTATATTTTTAAACCAAAAATAAACAAATAAATTGTTTATTGGTTACTATATAAGCGGATTATATTTATATTACGTCATACTTACCTGTATATATCTTAAACCAAAACTAAACAAATAAATTGTTTATTGGTTTCCATGACGTTTAATTAATTATATTAATATTACGTCATACTTACCGTACCCCTGTATACCTCTTGTTCTCATTTTTGAAAAATCTACTGAGGAATAAAGAAACATGTTTAGATTTTCAAACGTATTTTATTAGTTCTTCTTATTTTTACTTATATATATATATATATACAGGGTGTTCCAAAAGTAACAGGACTGGTGATGGTTCTTTGTTAAAACATGGACCAATTGTCTTCAAAATTTTACATAATGTACTTTCATGTATTGTCACTAAAATTGCAAAGTTTCAAAAAAAATAAAATAAAACTCGGGTAGAGTTATGATTACTATGGTAACATGACATCACGATACACAGGGCAATATTCCAGGTAGAAAGTTTCACAGACTTTAAGCAATTTGTACATCCCATATCAAAGTTGAAATGCAACAACTGGTGGGAATTACATTTGCTTTACATCATTTGATATTCCTATGTATCCTCTACATTGGAAAGTAGGCTCCTCTTTGGTTAGTACAAGAGTAGCACCCTGTATCCATAACTCAAACACAAACTCATTTGAGGACATAGCAGGACAACTTGGAGATGGCCATTCTCATCTTTAAAGTTGGGTCTTCAAAAACTCGACCGTAAATTGTCCAGACTGTTATACCTAGTGATATTCCAAGAAATTAAATAAATATTATTATGAAATCAAAATTGAATCTGAGTTGTATAGGAACACCATAACAACAAAGCGACTAATAAAACAAACGAGAAATGTTGTACTGTAATAGGTGAATAAGATACTTTCTTCAGTAATACAAAAATGTTAGATATCACATTTTCATGAAAAAGATGCCCTGGGTATTGTGATGTCATATTACCATAGTAACCATAACTCTACCTACATTTTATCATTTTCTCTGAAACTTTACAATTTTAGTTGCAATACTTCAAGTTCAAATTTGTGAAAACTTAAAGACTGTAATCAGTGCAGAATTGACAAAATGCCAGCATCAGTCCTGTTGCTTTTGGAACACCCTGTATATATATCTGAAAGCCAGCAAAATCAACAAAATTTAATCTATGCATACTTGATATGATGTTCAATATTGAAGTACTCAATCAGACTTTCTGTAAAAGGCATACTGTACTTCAGAGCCAATAAAAGTATTCAAAAAAGTTTTCTTCTGGCTTTAGAGTTGATTTCATGGTTTAAAACCTTCTCTGATGATTCTATATTCCAACTATGAAGGTCTATTCAAAGTTGTCAATTGAACCTTGAAAAGCCATATTTAGACTGAGGATTGAAAGTTGTTCACGACAACTTTCAGCTCATCTTTATTAAGATGAACTGGAAGTGAATTTTGGAGTTAAGTAAATGGTGATAATGTTTTTTTTTATAAATCAGGGAAGTCAAAACATTACAAATAGAAATCATAGTAAGCATTTGAAGATCATTTAGAAGCATTTAAAATCCAATCCACGGCAAAATTTGAAATAATTGAAATATTTCCACGCATATTTCAGAGAGCACACTTCCAGTTTATAATCAATGATTTTATCGATCAAAACAATATTTTTATGAATTTGTCTGATATCTGCTTAAATATGGTAAGTATACTGGTGTTGATTGTTAAATTACAAAATAGGTGGTGTAAAGAATATGTCAAAGTCGTTTGATCCCATCCCAGAAGCAATATTTTGTTATTCTTATCGCTCAGAATTCCTTTAGTAAGCAGTTAAAACAAGATCATAAATACTACTACTATATTATCATTAATTCATATTTCAGCCAACCCTATCAAGCATAAACACAAGAAGATATGTGCAGACAATCTTGGCAACAACTGGCGGGAGTTTGGAAGACATGAGGAAGTCAATTTTACAGAAGGCAAAATGGATAATATTAAAGCAGATACGAATATGCAATCTGAGACAATCTACAGGCTAATACATGATTGGTGTTGTAAACTAGGATCAAAAGCCACTGTGTCAAAATTAGCACAAATCTTAGTGGACATTGACATGAAACATATAGCTGATGAAGTACTACAGGCTTAGACCTCAAGATAACAACCAATGGTTATACATTTACCTACATGTATTATGTACAGGGTGGTAAAAAAACAGCAACCCTAGTTTTTCCTAATACACATTGACATGAAACATATAGCTGATGAAGTACTACAGGCTTAGACCTCAAGATAACAACCAATGGTTATACCTTTACCTACATGTATTATGTACAGGGTGGTAAAAAAACAGCAACCCTAGTTTTTCCTAATACACATTGACATGAAACATATAGCTGATGAAGTACTACAGGCTTAGACCTCAAGATAACAACCAATGGTTATACATTTACCTACATGTATTATGTACAGGGTGGTAAAAAAACAGCAACCCTAGTTTTTCCTAATACACATTGACATGAAACATATAGCTGATGAAGTACTACAGGCTTAGACCTCAAGATAACAACCAATGGTTATACCTTTACCTACATGTATTATGTACAGGGTGGTAAAAAAACAGCAACCCTAGTTTTTCCTAATACACATTGACATGAAACATATAGCTGATGAAGTACTTCAGGCTTAGACCTCAAGATAACAACCAATGGTTATACATTTACCTACATGTATTATGTACAGGGTGGTAAAAAAACAGCAACCCTAGTTTTTCCTAATACACATTGACATGAAACATATAGCTGATGAAGTACTTCAGGCTTAGCCTTCAAGATAACAACCAATAGTTATACCTTTACCTACATGTATTATGTACAGGGTGGTAAAAAAACAGCAACCCTAGTTTTTCCTAATACACATTGACATGAAACATATAGCTGATGAAGTACTTCAGGCTTAGACTTCAAGATAACAACCAATGGTTATCTAATGACTTTACCTACATGTATTATGTACTAAGGAGAGTGCTATATATACTAAGTTGTATTCATTTTTTAAATAAATGAAAATGAAATTCCTGAAAGATACTTTCTGGATATAGAATATTTAATGTGGCATGTGTCATCTCATGATTTATTTTTATCTATTATATGTAATAGATGACAGCCATTTAAAAAGGGAAAAAATGTGTGTTAATATTATTAGTTTTCCATTCTCTATAAAGGTCATTCATACTTATGTACACATGTATACGTACATGTACAGTGCATATCAAAAAAACGCAACAGATTGTTATCTTGGAGAAGCACAAAACCAGTGATAACAGCATTGATTTCATTCAATGCACCATAAAGCCATGTGTCTCCTCTTTACAATGATATATCATTCATTGATATTTGGTCATTGTTGGGCGAGTAATCATTCCATTTGCAAAGTGGGCCAAAATTAGCTTCGGGCCAAGTTATAAACATTGCAAAAGTCAGTGTACGGAGCCCGATGCAATATTGGATGAAAAATAAAACCAATGCTAACTGCATACTTTTAATTCAATGTACCAAAAGCCAAATTACTCCTCTTTGTAATGGAATATCATTCATTCACAGGGAGTCATCTCTGGCCGAATAATCATTAATTTTGCAAAGTGGGGCAAATTTCAGCTCGGACCCAAGTTTAACACATTGCAAAAGTCAGTACAAGGGGCATAGGTGCAATTGGAAGAAGGTGTGACAGGTATCGCATACATAGTAAAGTGTTCATACTCATACTCTTGCAAGAAAACATCCTATACCCCTCCAAATTGCTACCACTTCCTTGCACATAAAGATGCACTCATCTGTCCACGTCATGCATGGTTCAGCCCTGAATCATGTGTTGGTTAAAGCAAAGAAAAGCAGCCCATGGGCAAATCTTTCTCGAGGTTTTGCAATATCTGGTGGAGGAATTGTGAGCACAGATGCTCCTGAGATAGCTCCAAAATAAAAAGTCACAACAATTCAAGTCAGGGGAACTTCCATTGGCACTTAGCCCTTGCACTGATTTTTTCAATATCTAAAACTTGGTGCAGAGCTGATTTTGACCCACTGTGCAAATGGAAGGATTTATCACCCAACCATTACCACATGTGAATGAATGACATATCATTACAAAGAGGAGAGTCGTGGCTTTATGGTACATTAAATGAAATTGATGTAGTCATCACTAGTTTTGTGATTTTACGAGATAACTACTTGTTGCGTTGTTTTTATACGCCCTGCATAACACAGCATGCACTTTGAAAAAGTGGGATAAAAAAGGGTTAAAACATCTGACTTTCCTTGAATAAGCTATGTACCTTTTGGATTTTGGAAACAGGCATGACAAAGATAGGAATGATATGAGGGAAAAAAGATATCGAATACATCATCATCAAAAAGTGCATGACACACTGCTGTACCTGTATACATGTAGTCAACAATTTAAGGTACAAGTAGTTTTACGCTTTTGAAAAAAAAATTGAAAAATAATTTTTGGATATATCATTTCAAGATTATTTTAACAAAATATTTTGATTTTGATGTTTTCTATAATAACCTGTAAATATACACATAAAATATTGAAAAATATTACATATTTAGAACTAATGCTGTAGCATGGAGCCAACTAACTGCAAGTAAACAACTACCAAAATGTAAAATGAAATAAACATGTACTTACTCTGCCAGAGATATTGCTTGTTTGATATACTGGTAGCAGGTATGAATGTCATCTTTGCTGTCATGGACAAGTCCTAAAACATCAATTTACATTGAAGTAGATCACTTCAAAAGCTGAGTAAAGAAAGAAGCTAATAGAAGGCCATGATTTCTCATGATGAGTATATGTGAAACAGGGAGGTGTGGAAATTCAACTTTAACAACCCCCCACCCATTGCCCTCTTTAAAAGTTTTTTCAAAAAACATTGTGAAAATTTAAATGTTTTTTTTTTTTAAAATCAATATTGAAATATCATTATTAAATTGTGGAGCAGGGCTGGAATGGATACACCCTGTATTTCCTGAACATCTGCAATAGCGGGATAGATACAGAATATATCCAACCCACACCCTAGATATAGGGATGATATTCCCGCATGTTATGTACCTAGACCCTCAGTCTATTTTGGATGCAATACTTTATATAAAGATGAAATTGAACTGAATTGACAACTTAGCTGAATGAAACTAACAAAGGGGAAAATAGTGAAAACTCACCAAGGTTCAAAAGAAGCCTAACTTTCATCTCAGTATATTCAGGGACAGGAATAGATGTTTTCAAACGCTGACAATACTCAAGGCTCTTCATAAATGACTCCTCAGACTTCCGCAATGCATTCTGGGAGCGTTCATCATCACTTTCCCGAAGAGCCTCGCTTTGATTTAAAAATGTTCTTCCAATTGTCGCCCAAGCTCTCTGAATCTCAACATTGTCCGTGCAGCTTTCCGCAAGCTCTAAATGTCGTCTTTGAAATTTGAGAGCATTTTTATATTCATTCATTTCGCAGAAGCATTCTCCTATTTTCCTATTGGCTACGGCAGATCCTATGACATCCTCGAGTGATTCACTCAGATGAAGTTCCTGTTTGTGTTCATCAACTGCATCTTGATATTCACCTTAATAAAACAGGCAGTTATTATATCAAAACTTAAAATATATTAGCTATCACATCATTTAAAGTGGTTCGACTCAAATTATGATCCTAAAATGTCAATAAAGGTCGTATTATGTGTAAAGTGATGATTCAAGAAAACAATAAAAGAAAATTGCTATACATTCACATGTTATTTTCTGGTGCAAAATGAGAAAAGGTATTAACATGCAAAATGTCACCACCTGCCATTTGTTAATGATGCAAACTGCCATTTGTTACAGACACTGACTGCCAAACACCGTCCTCAAAGAAGTTGGACACTATAATATATTTGACATAAAAATAGCAACTACACTGAGTAGCAAATCCCAACGAACAAGATATTTATTTACCTTAATTAAACAGGCAGTGTACCATTTCATTTAAAATGATTCACCTCAAATTATGATCATAAAAAGTCGATAAAGCTATTTTGAGTTAATGCACTCACCATGACGCATCAAGAATTCTCCAATGACATTGCAGAGTTTTGCCATTTCCCGATAGTCATTTCTCTGCTCAGCTTTCCTCTTATCTTTCTTCAGCCCTGAAAAAAATTGATTAGTACAGGTATTTAACTGGGATTGTAAAAAGCTCATGTTCATTTTTTGTAAAATCAGCTAATAAGCTCAATAACTTCTTTAAAAGTTTATTGCATGGTGTTTCACCTTGACTCTGACATGCCAGATATTGGACATGAAAGAAGTGTGGTTATTTCAATGCTCAATGTGGGAATCGAGCCCAGGACCTTCCGCTCCATAGATTGACGCTCTACTGCTGAGCAAATAGGGGCTAGCCACTATAGCTGGACCAGAGAACCAACCTGCTATTGAGGGTCATTACACTATCCCCCTGAAGAGGGATGGCCTGTCGTAGCCCTGAATATCGACATGGACAAATCCCATATCTGACAACAATGTAATGACCTGAGGCTGCCTCCAAGGAGCTGTAGAAAAACAAGCCAGATACTGAACATGAAAGGGAGTGTGCTAAATTCAATGCCCAATGTGGGAATCGAACCCAGGACCTTCCGCTCCATAGATTGACGCTCTACCGCTGAGCCAATAGGGGCTAGCCACTATAGCTGGACTAGAGAAGCAACTTGCTATTGAGGGTCATTACACTATCCCCCTGAAGAGGGATGGCCTGTCATATTCCTGAATATCAACATGAACAAATCCCATTTCTGACAACAATGAAATGACCTGAGGCTGCCTCCAAGGAGCTGTAGAAAAAACAAGCCAGATATTGGACATGAAAGGGAGTGTGCTAAATTCAATGCCCAATGCCAGAATCGAACACTGGAGGACCATCCGCTCCATAGATTGACGCTCTACCGCTGAGCCAATAGGGGCTAGCCACTATAGCTGGGCTGGAGCCTGGAGTAGCAATTTGCTATTGAGGGTGATTACACCATTTCCCTGAAAGAGGATGCCCTGTACCTCTAGGGAGCTGTAGTATAACAAACCAGATACTGGACATGAAAGGCTCCATGCTAAATTCAATGCCTGTGGAAGAATCGAACCCAGGACAGGGGCGTAGCCAGCTTTCAGCCAGGGGGGGGGGGGGGCATGATCGGCAAAAAAATTTCGGTTTTCAGTCAGGGGGGGTGCGATTGTGGCATAAACAAGCTGAATAATGACAATTCAGCTGAACATTTAGGTTCAGATACAAGAATTCATATCTACTTTGGTCGCTAAGATTCTATTTTTTGCTATCGAGTGCTATTTAACTTGCTATCTACAGTGTAGGGGTCCCGCGATTTTATTGGATAGAACGTGTTACTAATATTGGTAAATCTAATAAAAAACCGAACAATATTTACGTTCGGAGTATTAATGTTGACCCGAGACTAGAAATTGAAACTTTTTGAAAGTGTAATTGATAGAATTATGGCCGTGTAAGCATCAAATATTGTGATATCCTAATATCCCCCAATAGAAAATCTACTGTAGTACTTTGGAATGTTCCTCAGTAAAAGGAAAGCACAGCCGGATTCAAAAAATTGCAAATGCTGACTAGGCCTACTTTACCTTATTCTTCGGTCACAGAGTGTGGCCTTAACTCTATCGTCAAGCCCTGTTTGTTTTATTGCTTTTAACGCTATCCCCTGTAGACTGTTGCTATGAATTAACTCAAATGTAATAAACATACCTTCATTGAACTTAGTATGTACAGGGTGTCAAATGGCGTTGTGCCCCCCTTCCACAGCATTAACTAGGAGAAGTACACATACATTATATGTATCATTAGAAAGAGCATTCAATTCTGGATAAAATGAACCCTAGATGACCAGGGTCAGGTATTGCTACAAAGTTTCATAAGCATTTGAAATGCACCAGTATAGTGCTATTTTTATTGATTCTTAAAAATTCCTGCATAGACCTTTTTGGTATTGGTGAATACCCGAGCAACAACTCTGACTTAAATGCTTCAGTTCAAATTGAGCCCATATTAATGGATAAAACAGAGCTACTTATGGAAGTTGAAGCTGTAGAGAACAGATATTCCATAGATACCCTCCAGGAGAACCTCAAAAAGTATTGAGATCTCTGCTCAAGACATTGCTCTTTTCAATGCCCTTTTAACTTGATATCCAGCCTGACTGGCAGCCGTTTAAAGCTGCGGGGGATGGTCAAACTCTCTTTTAAAAGTTGGTTCAAATAATGTATTATTTTCTATCATCCATCTTCATCTTTTCACACTCTAAGAACAATTAAATGCTCTTTCCAATGGTATATAGTATGCATGTGTACCACTTCTAGTTTATGCTGGGGATAGGGGGCACAACGCCATTTGACACCCTGTAGTCTTAGTCCATATGACTATCTACATCGTCTTTTATTTAGTCTTTTCTAAGAGCAATCTTTTGGGTTTGTAGAAAAAACCGGGTACCGGGTACCAGGTAGTAAATCCTCCATGCTGGGTTCATACTTGGTACCCGGTCAAAAAAACCGGGTACCCAAAAAACGAAAAATATGAATATACAACTAATTAGATCATTAGAAAACGTGTAAGATTTGTTTTGAATATAGAAAAATGTATGTAACTTCCCTCAAAATTGAGCCAGAAGCTTCAAATGAAAAGCATTTTAAGGCTCTTTTCTTCCTCTATCATCTCGGTCATATTTTCATCGGTTATTAGGCCTGTCAACTGTCCCGCAATTTGCGTATTTGTCACGCATTTGCTGAAGAATTTGAAGTCACGCCAGAAAATGTCACACAAATACGCATTTTACCTGTTAATTGTCAAGCAAAAATATTTCTGTAGAAAAAATTCTAAAACAGTTCGCCGATACAGCAAAAATACGAACACCAAAAAAACGTACGCAATCCGTTCGGACTTTTCACGCGAATCACGTATATGTCACGCATTCCGTTCGAAATTTTTCGTATGTTGGTACGTGAAGTTTTGATTATGATTTAAATCTGTAAATAGCTATCGTTACTTTAGCAGAGAGGTGACGTGTGTTAATTTACATGATGCAACGTGTAAGATTTTGATTATTAATCATAATTTAAGTTAGCCCAACGTCCACTGAAGTGTAAATTGTTACGTCTTACAATGTCATAGGTGATCGCACCCCACCCCATAACTTATGAAAATATGACCATGATGATAGAGGAAGAAAAGAACCTTAAAATGCTTTTTATTTGAAGCTTCTAGCTCAATTTTGAAGGAAGTTACATACATTTTTGTATATTCAAAACAAATCTTACACGTTTTATAATGATCTAAGTATTTTTCGTTTTTTGGGTACCCAGTTTTTTCGACCGGGTACCGGGTACCAAGTTTGAACCCAGCATGGAGGATTTACTACCCGGTACCCGGTTTTTTCTACAAACCCGCAATATTTTGGAAAAGATCCTTCGGTAAAAACGGCCATTTTGTTTTTCGCTAAAGCGAGATAAAGATCCACCTCAACAGATGTTTTTATAAATGGCAGACCAAATGATTTTAAGTTTAGACGAAAGCATGCAATATCTCACAAAGGAAAGTATTCGTTTGCATTCTATTTGATGGAATATTCTCATTATAATTTCTAGAATAACATCTAAAAAAATCTTAAGGTAACTTATAACTTAATCAAAAAATCCAAGATGGCCGAAACCAGGAAGCACATGGCATTTGAGTATAATCTGACCATCAAAATTAACTATCTTTTGGTTGGATTTTCTCTCAATTTTTTAGTTCCACTTATCATTTATATAACCAGGCTCACTGTGGTAATGCAAATAGAAACAGTAAACATTTTGGAATGGGAATTTGAGTCCTCTGAAAATGTGACAGAAAAATTGACAAAAAGAGTAGCACGGCAAAGGTCCCTGAACATTTTTTTTTTCTAATTTTTCTGAAACATCCCTTTAATATAGCCCAAAATGGAAGGAGCTTTAGAATTTTGAAATCTCTCATACAAATTAAAAAAAATAGAAAAAAACATTTGAGAAGTGTACTTTTTTCCTTATTTTGATCCCAATTTTTTTATCGGGTAATTTTTCAAATTTCCGTTGCTCCTTCGTTTTTGATATATGTTTGAAGTATATTTTCTGAAATGTTCAGATATTTTGAATCAGCGGTTTTTCACGGGCTACTCCTAGAAAAAAATCTTCTCAAATTCTTTAAACGGCACTTTTTTTCTCAAACTAAAGTTTTTTGTTGTTCTTTGATGTCTTTGTTATGATTACAGTGCACAAGCGATATGTGAAATAATAAAAACGACTTCTCAGGAAGAGTTTGAAAATTTCAAGATTGTGAAATTTTCAATTTTTTCTGAAAATTGATTAAGTTAACAGTCACCTTAATCCAGAATCAACGTTTTCACTAGTGCACGGAGGTCCACATGCGATGTCTTCTAGCCAAGTTATTTGGCTAGAGACTCGAGTAAGGCCTACTATACAGCAGATAGTTATATAGTTTCTATGCTGCATCTGAATCAAATGTCAGACTTTCAACTCAACCTCAGCTATGTCAGTGTTGCACCCCCCCTCGGTTCAACTACACTATTATGTATCGTATTGTTGCTCGTATCGTGACCTGATTATCGAGATACGTATCGCATCGTTTCATAATGTATCGTGGGACCCCTACTTATTAGAGGTGTAACGGATACCCGATTTTGTTCCGATCCGCGGAATTATGCCCTCGGAACGGAACACAGAACACAAATTGAGAATTTCGGTTCGGTTCCGGAACGAGAACATTTTACCCTTTTACAACTTTTGGCCCTTACATCGCCACAAAACAGCATTTTTCTTTCAATATTTTGCACTAAAAGAGGTTCATTCTTTTCACACCTTCTCATTGAAGAGTTTTGAAGAGCTTTTCGCTTCCAAATAAACCTAGATGATCAACTTATTTTAATCTTATACACACAGTCTGTTCCGAACCATTCCGAAATTGTTCCGTTCCGAAGCAAAATGTTCCGAACCGACCAACCGAACCTTTCCGATTTTTTTTGTTCCGTGACATCTCTACTACTTATACAGTGCGTTTACTTAGATCAAGCAGTTTCTGATGATAACATATGGTGTAAAAACACCTGTCCTGGAAGACCAAGAGAGACCCTCAAGAGAAATTAAAAAATTAAAAAGTTGCAATTTTTCCCGGGAATTTGTAAATCAGGCCTACTGGAGTTGTACTTACGTTCGAGCTCTTTCATTTGGCTGGGATTCATTGTATCTCGTGAGATAAAAATCACAGTTGTAAAATTTTAAAATAAATGTCCCTAATACTGTACAAATGTAACTCATTAAATAATTCTAGGATTTCATCCTGACTTCAAATTCCCGCTTGGACCAACTGCAGCTGTCAACCGTTGCAAAGTTTATCTCGATCTCTTCTAGGTTATTCTGCGCAGCCAGTCATTTACATTTGATATACTTCATCATCGAATCTTCTTTTGAATGGAGACTGTATTAAATACATTGATATACTCTAGTTACATCTGAAATACTCGTAGCGTCAGAAAAATTAATTTATGTTGATCGGTTGGCAAAAAGTTTATCGCGGTCGTATCAGCCTTTCAGCTGCAGTGAGCTTTTCTGAAGAGAGCAGTCTTTATTTGAATTTCAAACTATTCCGTCTATTTCTTATGTATGACTATTGTATCGTGTATTGTTATTCATCTCAAACAATTGAGCAATTGAATGTTTTATTATGAAAAGTTTATATTATTACAATTAAACACTAAAGTTACAATATTATTAAATATAGAAAATTGATAAATCGTTGCTCCCGAAGCAGTAAAAATTAAAGTAAGTTTATCCTGATTATTCAATTTTTCTAAGATATATCGTGGTAAGAAACGCCACTACTATATTGGGTTATTAAATTTTGAATGCATGATAAAATTAAATCATAGCAAGTCACATACAGTGTCGTGAATGGCCAAGAAATGGCACAAATGTGTGAGGTGGGCGATAATAGAGTAGACTAATATATTAACCGAAAGTGAACTGTGAACATTTTTCTTTCAAATGTCAAACATTTTCGACACTATCCATATATATAAATTTTGCTACAATCGACTCTAATCATCATCCTAGACATTCTGCCAAATCTAAAAAAGTTGCGACTCTCAAAATACTAGGGATGTCATCAGACGAAAATATTTCAGGAGGGGATGAGAAATTGTCGGGTATTATCCATTTTGGGACTGGACATTCAGGACGGGACATAACCAAAAAATAGTTAATAACTTAATAATAATTTCAACAACTTACATTATTTCGTCTACTTCCGATTATGCTCACGTAGCGCGGATCTTTTGAACGTCTCAAGAGGCTGCACAGTGCACATGTTGCACAAAAACTTGTTATCTGACATTGATTTTAAGTTGTTAGTTCTCTTGCCGATGGAGTTCTTTGTTATTGTTTAAATAAAGCATATTTCAAAGGGAAACACTGTTATCGATAAAACTACATGTTCTTTCCTGAATTTTCACTAATATAATCACTTATATAGTAATTGCCACTAGATGGCATATACGCAAGCTAGGACATAACCAGCAGATAAATTGTTAATATGAAAGAAAATTCTAGTCTATATCATGTTTACTGTGCCTTTGGGAAGTTTTAGGGTCATATACAGGAGAAATGGTATATCCTGAGCATGGACCAAAATCCTTGGTACACGGGGGTCGTCCCATCCCATCCCGAGACCAAAGTCCAGAGGGAGGGGACAATATCAGGAAACCGTGACATCCCTACAAAATACAACCTGTATTTTCAAAAAAGTCTCTGATTTAGAATTTAGAATGATAATACAAAAAGATATGTGTAAGACACTCAAAACTTATTTGGTTCCTCATAGTATTGTTGTAACAACCCAATGGTGACTCCTTGGGGGGAGGGGGGGGTGGATGCTGAGCATAGTGTAACAAGCCAGATATAAGGAAGAAAGAAAGTGTGCTTCATTCAATTCGCCCTATGTGGGAATTGAACCAACAACCCCCAGATCTAAATCTGATGCTCTACCACTTGAGCTATAAAGATTTAACATTTCACTTTGTTTTACTTCTCTACACTTTACTGATGAACATGTATCTATCATATTCTGTTGTAGATGGCAGAGTTGGATATAGGAAAGCATTGTGATTTCACTTCATGTCAGCAACTAGGTAATGTATAATAATTATGCTCTAAAAACATTTTCTTTGTTAATTTATAATGCAATGTCTTTAGTGAAAAGCATGGACATGAACATCAATTTACACCAGATTACAAACAGCAAAAAATCTACTCTAAACCCTCAAGAGTTCTTAATAGATGGGTTCTTTTATAAATAGGGATCCAAACTTTCTTTGAAAGTGATCAAAAAATGATGCATACTCTATGTACAGTAATGGTTTATATCTATCTTTCTTAGAATTCAGCCAGTCATGTAACTCAGTGGTTGTGCACTTACCCAGATAATGGGAGATCATCCTCCTAAGAAGGTATCCAGAATCCATACCTCCTTCCTCCCCCTGCTATAACCAATTTGGAAGCACCCGATTGAACTGAATCACGCAATCTCATTATGCACAATGACTTATACATGATTTCTGTCGCAGTGTTGAGACAGCCAATCAAATTGCAAGTTCTTAATCGGGGAAATGCTAACTGCTTATCGCAGGGGGTAAAAAGAAAGAATATATTCTGGATTTTGAAGCCCTGTGATCGGAGGATGATGGGAGATAGGCCAAAAGTGTTTGGATAGCAAGTGTTCACATTTCAAGGGTTCTTTAGCAGGGAGTCTATGGGAGATTACAAAATTAGGCCTGAGAATTGAGAAATGTTTGGATCAGAAAGATATTCAAATAAACAGATTTTACTGTACATAGAACCTGTATATCTGAACACCTGACTAATCCGAACACCTTCCAATTTGAACACTTTTTTCGGTCCCATTTTTTCCTCCCATTGACTCCCATGTTAAAGAAACCTTGAAATCTGAGCACCTCCTAATTTGAACAGTGAACAACCAGATTTGAAAAAGTGACCTGTCTAATTTGAACATTTTTTATCAGAAATCAACTGTCTGGACATTTCAATTAAACCCACATATTGAGTCAATGTTATAGTTGTTATTTATCTTTACATATACAATGTAATCAAAGAACCAATATTGTCCTTATTAACCTATTTAGTCTCAGTGACATCCCTAATTTGTGGAAAACAACAGGATGTTATGGAAAGGTGTGAATACAGGAGTTAATTGGTTTATCCTATTAGAAAAGAACTGAATGTTTTATGTTTGGATTAAGAGAAAGGTGTGAATCAAAAAGATAATTGATCATTATTGGAAATTACCTGGATGATTTTGATTTGGATTAAGAGAAAGGTGAGAATCTGGGAGATAATTGGTTTATCCTTATTGTAAATTAACTGGATGTTTTTGATTTGGATTATGAACAGGTCTTAGATGTTTTATATCCCATGGGTCTGTTATGATAGCTAAAATTCAATCAGTAAATGTTTTATAATCACAAAGACAACACAGAAGACATTTGCAGACAAGATTATATCACGAGAAAGAGAAAAAATCCAACTTCGTAATATCCTATCACTAAAATGTCTCCTAAAAAGGTGTATATCTGACATCCTGAATGCCCTTGATATTTTGAAGGATTATACATCATCTCGAATGAAATCATGAAAAATTCTTTTTACTTGAAGAGGATATCTACTCAAATATTGCTAATGCAAAAAGTGCCAAGAAACAAACAACAATGAAGGACTTTTTCAAGCAAAAGTTAAGCTATATAATCATAATATGGGATAAGCCATTTGATAAGCATAAGATTTCGTACGAGACTATCATATACTTTCACTGTGTATTACAAAGTTTTTGCCAAAATATAAGAGTTATTTTTATTAAAATGATGAAATTGTTCAAAATATAAATAAAGCATAACATATATAGCATATATTTCCCCCCCCCCCCCGATTAACAACATCCTCGAAATTTGAACACCTGCCAATTTGAACGCTTTTGGCTGGTCCCATGGGTGTTCGGATTAGACAGGTTTTACTGTATATTCAAGCAGGCACTTTTAGCTTCAATGAGTCCTTATTCAAAATTAAATAGAAATCTGAAGGTACACTAGAGTAATATGAAATGAACCTTTACAGTGTTCTTCACAGTTTATTTCTCAAGTTGGTGCAAAATTTTTATTTTCACAATTCAGACCAAAATTGGTCAAAATATACCAATGTTTCATGATTTTTCTCATTTTCTAGGGGGTGCAAATGTTTTTTATCTATTATTCCCTCAAGTTTCATTGGTCTAATCCAAATGGTCAAGAATTTATGACCATGTTACAAAACCTTTTTTTGGCTCACCCTGTATCTCTAGAAACCTAGATTGCTAGTAAAGTGTTAAAGACTAAGTAGTTGTTGTTATGTTCTTATTCATTTTTATGTGCTTTTAGATTTCCTGCCATTTGAGTGTAATTCCTGTCATCGTGTATTTTGGTAAGTGACTAGAATGGATGAACCTTTCCTGATGTATAATAATGCATAATTGTTTGTAATTGATCTCCTAATTTATGAATCTCAGCGTCCCTCTAAAAAGTATTTTGAAAAGACATAATGATGATGGTTTGTATATTTAGTACTATAATGACTAACATGTACAGAAACTTGTATATTTATGGAACATCAAAAAATGTACTTAATATAGAGGCATTGCAGTTGGAGAAGTTTTTCATTTACACTTTACAGAGTTCACTTTACAGGTTTTAATGTTTTATGATATTCTCCATTCATACCTGGACTTACCTTTCTGATATGAGTGAAACTAACATTAACACCGATACTGTTGATAAATTGATTTTTATTTGATTTTAGCAAATTTCATAGATCAACAGAAAGCCACAAATGTAGCCTGGTAAGTTGAAATGCATGTTTGGATTTGATGGATTATTTTTAATGTAAATGTGACATTTTGTCATGCCTCATACAAATACATTTTTTCTAAATTAAGATGTCTATTTGACAAGTTTGGTATATAGTGATGATTTTTATGTCACCATTAGAAATGGTGATATATTGTTATAGTCTCTAACTTTTGTGGATTGTGTTTGATGATAGTTTTTTTTGCTGGTGTCTGTAACAAATGGCAGGTGGTGAGATTTTGCATGTTAATGCCTTGTTTATGTTTGTGATGCTTATATGTGTACATGGATCGTCTTTATTTAAAGGAATGTGCCCCTAAACCAAAGGTTGAATATACAGGTGATAAAGGACATCCTTGTTTCATGCCTGATTGTACTAATAGAGAGCTGATTCCTGTGATATGTGAACAATGCAAGAACAACTACTGCCTCAGGTTTGTCAGTTAGTTATCCTCGGAGTATAACCTCATACACACATTTTCCCTCCATGTATTAATGTATACATGATAATTGGGATCATTGGGTCATACCAAGGACTGCTTGATATACATGTGATTTTGTACTTTTCGCTTAATCTTGATGTGGAGCATTGAGATGGATTGCGCTATATTTTGAAGAAGTTCTTGAAAATGACATGTGTGAGTCCAAAAATATACAGGGCGTCCACAAAAAAAGTATACCCAACTTCAAATCCAAATTACAATATGTTGTTATTGCTTTCAGTCATCGGCACCAACAAGACCACAATTGTGATAAGTTAGAGAAAATATCTGATGTACAGAAAATGCCCCAGACAGCTGCCCATGTACAGAATATATTAGGTAAGCATTTCCATTATGTTCCCTCTAAATCTATGTTGACCACTTGGTTTATGCATGCCACTCCTTCCAATTTTCCACAAAATGAATTCTGTGGGATTTCTTGGTGTTTATAAAAATTGAGACAGACATGAACAAAACTGAATCGATTAGGCTATCTAGCTCTATGTAGAGCTGTTAGCCATGCCTTAGATAACCATGTCTCTCTTATAGACCTCAATCTGATTTTAATCTGTGGAACATAAAATTGTAGCATCAAACAATACCTTAAAAGTGGGAATTACATTCACACCCCTTTTGTCTCTTAACCTTTACTACTTTAGATATAATGAATTCTTAATTGCTGTATCTACATTGAAAATATTTTTTAAATTGATGCATTATGAAAAAGGCTGATGCAAAATAATTATGTAGATTTTGTTTGTATATCTCCTTAGATAAGCGGAAAGACCAACCAAGTCCTAGTAAGGGTAGGGGACGGAAATCCAAGAAAACCGAGAGCAAAGTCCAACTGATGAAGATGAAGATGAATGCAGTAGGAGACAAGGGCCTTCCCCCCGATGAAAGGATCTACTTTAGAGTCCTCTTACCACATGGCACACCTGACAAAGATAAAGCCATGTTCTTCTCCAAGGTTAGCACTTATTGATCACATACAGGGTCTATTAAAATTTCTGACAATAGCCAAAACTGAATAACTAATTAGAGACAAGGGACTTCCCCCTGATGAAAGGATCTACTTTAGAGTCCTCTTACCACATGGCACACCTGACAAAGATAAAGCCATGTTCTTCTCCAAGGTAAGCACTTATTGATCACATGCAGAAAAAATATTTGAGGTATCTAATCAAAAATAGAGTTGAAGATGTAGAATTGTCCAAAATCATAAAAATCAATCGACTGTTTGCTGATTGCCTTAGAAACTGAAGGATTACCTCAAACTATTGGACAGAAAATAAGCATGACAATGAATGCCATGAATGTATTGGAAAGTGTGTATAATTTCCAAAACTTCATCTCAACTTGCTTGTACTCCCTTTAACTAAAATACATGTACATGTATTTAAACATTTCGAACCACAATTTTTAATGCTTTTCTATGAGAATGCATTAAAATGTGAAATAGATACATAAGTATTTTTATGTATATGTGAGCTGCAGCCCATGGGTTCATCATGTCACTGTAACATCTTCCAAATCTGGGCAACTGGGAGGGTAATGGATGGTTGTTTGTACAACTGTACAACTTGTAATGTTATGCAACATTTGTTTATTTCCAGACCTGGACTATAGGGAGGGCAGTTGACAGAATAGCAACAGTCTGTGATCTTAAAAATGAAAACAATATCTCATATGCTAAGGTATGTGTAACATTTTAGCATGTTAAGCGTTTTGATGTTCTTGACATCTTGTAATGGGTTAATTAAGAAGTCTCATCTCCCACATGTCTTTATGTTATGTCTTACAGCAAGACATATTCAACACTAAAAGCTCATGTTAGAAGACAATATATGATGAATAAATTTGAAATTTTGGGAATATTGTGATAATATGTAAATGATTGAAAAATATATGAATAAATGTAATGTAATCAATACACAAGTAGCTTAAAAGTACTTTTTTAAATATTTGAATATACGTGTACCAACAAATCAATGAAATAGCTGATATCTCAAAACCTCATATTATCCACATCCATGGCTGACAAGGTCGGTTAGAACTTTCCTATGGTTGGATTCACATGAGCATACAGTAAAAACCTCTTAATTTGAAGATGAACATCCCTGACTTAAACCGTATTTGTCAATCTTGAAAATATTCACATTTAAATATGTTTTACAGTACAAATCTATATAATTTCATTAAAATGATGCATTTTAATTTCATGTGTATCTTTACAATATACATCATAAAACTTGAAATGTGTTGATGGTATATAATGCCGTTAAATTATAGAAGTGGGTTTTTGTTATTATGTATTTCCAGAAATTACGTCTTTTTGACACAAATGTTGGTGCTAAATTAAATGTTGACTCAACAATAGAGGATGCTCTTGTAGAAAGTTCAGAAGTCTTCAATGGTTCAACGCTAATACTGGAATATGTGGAAAATGACTGTAACATTCTTGATGATTTTCAATCCTACTCATAGCATAGGGATAAGCAAAGGAACAGTCAGAACATGTACATATGTATGTGAAATTTTGACAACGAGAAAACACGAATGTATAATAATATGTTTAACTTTTTGTGACTGGTGAAGGACAATGGGGTTTGAAATGTCAAAATAAAATTGTTTCTGTTCGAAGGGACAATTGTATAAATTACAAAACTACAAAATGAGACAGATGAATATCGACATGTTAAGATGAGTACTTTATCATTTTTATAACTATTTACAATGTATTTCAGTTTGTGAGAAAATAAATTTATAATAAAACACATCCAGTTGCCCTTGGCTTATGAAACACATCTATAAACTCTATCTTAGGTCTTTAATACTGGCTTTTACATCAAACATGAATTAACTGCCTTCTGTCTGAAGTATGCTTCTCAGTTAGGATGTTAATATCTTGTCAGTCAGCTTGTTCTTAACAATTACTTCCTTTCCACCTGAGCTCGGATTATAATTACCGAGATGCGAGTAGGTAGTTACAATTTTCAACACCAGGTGGCTACTCATGTTATGTTTTTGGCACCTGCACTTATTCTGATAGAAAGATGAGACTATTTTCTTGAGATATATAGCTTGAAATCTCAGATTTCACCCTATGACGTAGTTGAAAAGTTGCTTAATTTGAAATAGATTTAGTATATAAGTATGTCAAGTTTTTTGAGAATGTAAAATGTATCATCTGTTGAATAACATGGACTTAACGGGGGAATCTAACCTAGAAATTACATTTTCAAGGAAAATCAAAGTTAAACCAAATAAAGCAATTTTGCATGTAGATTTTAAATGAAGAATGTACTTTTTTATTAAAAATTTGATCAAATATCAACATGAGTTTGTGAAGCTATAGTCTTATGTATGGTCAGTGTGGCTGACCAAGGGGGGGGGGCAAATTTCAACTCTGAAAAAGATTTCTGAACTGGGGCGGGAAAATTTTTGGGCCCCTCAAACAAAAAAAATTTCCTTCAGGATGAACCCTGTATCCAAAATGTCCTAGTATATAATTTATTGTGTCATAACCCATACCTTCTGGTGATAATCTATGTTATGTGATAAATTCCTGACGCATTCTGCTTATTATGATACACTACATTGGTATATTAATGTCATATAATTTACTAGAAAACCAGGCATTTAAATACCAGGTGTGTCTGTGTAGTGTAATCAATAATTATAGCTCATATGCATATAGTATAATGACCTTTATAAATTATATTATTTCAGTATGACTAATATGTTTACTACTGCTTGTTGATGAAATCTTGATTTCAAAACAGCTTATAAAGTCCCCGTCTAAAGTTTGAAAGTATTTTTTTATCATTCATTTACTATTTTTTATGACTTAAAAAGTAATTTCAGATATTTTTGAAAAAAAAATCAGTGCATGAAAATGGTTCTGAGTACCCTTTGCATTCGTTTGACTACACTTCTTAAGAGAGCTTCGTCTTCACTCTTTCAAACTAAAATAAACCTGTGAACTCACCGCGCCAATCAGTGTTCGTCGGCCAAATTTGACCGACGTCTATATATGGTCATTCCTTCTGACGTCATCGTTGAGCCCGGAATTGACCAATGGCATGCGCATATTTAATTAGAACGTATTTGCTCGCTGATTGGTGGAAGGTCAGCGGGTAGGTCAAAAGTGATTTACCCATACTGTCACCGGTACCCATCATGGGGCGGGGCTACTAAACTGTAATATGGTCTCTACTAGGCAGAGTGTAGTTTAACTAGACTCTGCACGCAGGGTAATGTTTTAGCATATCAAAAATATTTTGCAACATAAGTGATGTCACTCAGGTGGCAAAAACTTTTTGAAAAAATCTAAATATGCTTGACTTCAATGATAAACCAATGTTGATTGTCTAACCAGGTTAAAAGGAAGAATATATTATGTTTTAGATATCATTGTACCATTGGTTTCTATGAGAACTAAAATTTTTAAATGCATTTTTCTCAGAACCTACCCTGCGTGCAGAGTCTAGTTAAACTACACTCTGCCTAGTAGATACCATATTACAGTTTAGTAGCCCCGCCCCCACGACGGGTACCGGTGACAGTTTGGGTAATAAATCACTTTTGACCTACGTGCTGACCTTTCTTCCACCAATCAGCAAGCTTGAAGAAACATACGCCAAATGCGTTCTAATTAAATATGCGCATGTCATTGGTCAATTCCGGGCTCAACGATGACGTCAGAAGGAATGACCATATATACAACGTCGGTCAAATTTGGCTGACGAACACTGATTGGCGCGGTGAGTTCACAGGTTTATTTTAGGTTGAAAGAGTGAAGACGAAGCTCTCTTTTAAGAAGTGAAGTCAAACGAATACAAAGGGTACTCAGAACCATTTTCATGCACTGATGAGTTAATTTCTCGCTTATTTATGAACCGATTTTCTTAATTTTTTCGGCAAAAAACATGCGAGGATGAATGCTATGCATTGGTATGAATTGTGGCTAATTAAAAGACATGCGTGACCTCTTAAAGTTAGTTTTAAATAAATTCACACATTTTTGAACAAAAAGTCCTTCAAAAACCACTTTTTGAAATTAAAAAAAAGTTTCACATATCAAAATTTGATAACATTGGGTAAGACTACAATATAAGCCAAAGTGGTTTAAACTTTATATGGGGACTTAAAAGAATTCTTCTTTTCGCGGTTCGCTCTTTGAATCAGAACATTCGCAAATATGCACTGAAAAAGCACTCAAAAAGGACAAAATTTGATTGGTCAATATTTTCCCACTATGCATTTCGCGTAGCTATTTGCGTGACACGAAAGTTCTAAATCAAACTAATTACTCAATTTTGTCTTTACACCCGCACGCTAAATAAAACAATGACACCATCGTAAGTATTCTTCTTTGTCATTGCTTTAATAGTCAGTATACCGAGTTTAATCAATAAAAGATTGTACAATGAACAACAAAATTCGGAAACGAGTACTATAGATTTGCTTTCGGATCACTGAACAGATTGACCTAGATAATAGCGACGCATCTTCTTTGGTCTACTGCTCAGTTGTTTGTGGGTTTTCAACGTAACTCTATAATGTAATTTGAAGATGAATATTTTTATTCAGTTGTTGCATCGATGTCGCAGTTTGTAGTGCGGTAAGATTGGCATGAAAGTATTGAAAGTCGAATGGAATTGTTTTTTCCAATATGGCGACTAGTCTACTGATCACATGACCTTCTCTTCCGGAATATTTTCTCACTTTTCAATCATCGTTTTCACCACGCTATGAATTAATACAATGAAAAAAATAGCTGTTATATTAAGATTAAGAGAGATCAATCGTTTCTAATAATTATTTCTGTACTCTCGTACGGGAATATGAACGAATATATCGTTTGAAAAATAGGTGTGAAAATCCCCATGTTAAACCTATGAGGGAAAATAAGATTGTATAAATTTGTTCCTCCGCGAACTGCATCATGGGAAATATTTTGCCCTTATAAGGAACGATTTTCGCGTCGAAGAGGGAACAACGATTTCGAGAATTGGATTTAGCAGCATGTGATTCCATATTTTCTCATTTAGAAAAGTTAATCTTGTAATTAAGTGATATGGCTAATAATTAATCCCCATCTTCTGAACCTGTTATTAAAAGCCTTTGTATCATGGTTTGATATGAATAACACACACTACCCTACCACGTGACCACGTTTAAAAGGGAAACAGGGTACAGCTAAGTTGCAAATGGAGGACGTGGGTTATTTCTGAACGTAAAATACATTTTACATTTATTTTAGTGTTCTACCAGACATAGAATTGATTCATCAAGCAGTTTGTAGAATATTGTTGGCAAAAAAACACTATAGGCAAAGATAGATAATAGTGGGCGCAGTGAAGCAAAACTTAATGCAATACACGATACATTTCAGTAAATCTGTCAACGTACAGGGAGCATGTAAGTTTCCCTTCGAAAATCTTACATTGATATGTAACAAAACCCCAGTAAACTGTTATTTAAACTGCTTGTCATCGTGTTATATGTGGTTACGTTTTCCAGTATGTTATTCAACTGTACTTTTGTGAATTGATTGTTTTTCTAAAATCTTAAGATGCAAAATAGTCGTCCCAGAAATGTATCTTTACTTTGCCGTAAGGCATAACATATTGTGAAACATTTTTCCTCCTGTCACAAGGAGGATAATGTTTGTTTCAAGGTGTCTTGTGATTAGCGTTTCATGATTAAATGCAAAATCACTGGAGCAGATACCATCCAAAAACATCTGACATCCAACACGTCATATAAGACTACATCGATCTGGTATTAGTTTTTTTTACAATAATAGAGAAATACGACGTCATATCACCTCTACAGCAAATCGTGAAGAACAAAATGTCGTGGCATGATGGTATTTTGAACAAACTATTTTAAATGATCAAATGATTCAAGGGGTTATATAGAAAGATTCTTTACATGTAGTTCACGCAATTTTAATTATTCTGAATAGCGGATAGTCATTAATCCTGATAACCAATAGTCATTTATCACTTACGTGTTTATATTTAATTTCGTTATTTTATTTCAATTTGATACCCTAGTAACACGTATAATCTAGCGTTCTTGTTAATTTAATGACTAAAATGCATTTACGACCCGAAAGCCCGTGTCTAAATCTACTAAATAATGTTTACTTTATTTGGATTAAATAACAATTGATGACACCTCAAAGCATCAACAGGCGGCCTTTTTAGTATTGTTTTCACTGTTTGCAACGTAAATATACATGAGATCGGGACATAGTATGTCTGTATAATCAGCTTACTTTCTCGCTCCCTGTACTATTGAACAATTTACATTCCTTGTACCCTGTATTGATCAACTTTTGCAGCTGTGTACCGTGTACTATGACATATCAAATATTTTAAAATTTAAAACGATATTTTTTACATTATTTCTTCAACTATCATATAACTTGGAACATGGACTTCACTATTGCACCACTGAAGTTCAGCGAATAGCAATATTGTCTCACTCCGAGCACCAAACGTATTAACCTTTTCACTAAGCAGCCGATATACTCAAAAGCGACCTGATTGAAAGCGAAAAAATTCGCGCATGCGCTATCGAGGTAGGGTAGTGTGTAACAGTGGAATAGAGAGAAAACAGCAATGAAATAGTGAAACTCATGAAAAATTACTCTAAATACAGTATGTTTGAGTCCCAAATGATTTGGGTGAAAATGTAAAATACAAAGTATGAGCAATCTTCATATCATATTGAATGTAT